TGCGTAATTACCACATCCAATCTTTCTTATTGTGTATACTTATTAGTCTTTGTAAAATATCTACAACATTTCTTGCCTATTAGATAATATGTGTGAATGATGTATACAAAAATGGTTGTGGCATAACAATAACAAATTGTAATATTATTCAGTTAAGATATTTTTATATGTTGCAAAAAATCTACCCTTTTGTTCACAATCGTGACTTATTGGACCTGTAAAAATATGTTAAATGTAACAGTACTATTTAAGATATTTCATATTAACTAAATTATGTATGCATATACCTGGTCGTAAGTGTTGCTAGTAGTATTCGGTCTGTTGTTTTCATAATCTATGAATTAAATAATAAAATTATGATACAAATTTAAGCATTTATTTGAACAATGCTCTAAATGTTATGTTTCAATCAGGTTTATATTGATTACACTTGAATCCTAGAATCTTCTGTCCCAAAAAAAAATCTAAAATAAAATCAGATATATTATCATATTTTAAATTCTATTCCAGGTTTTTGTTTTGTTGAAAATATACAATATTTTAAATATGTGCATAATAACATATTCCATTGCCAATTTGATTCTAAAAAGTTTACTTTAAACATATATACATGTACTGTAACCCAATTTATATTCGCGAATACAAATTTTCGCGTTTTGCCGAGGTCGGACATATTCGCGAATATTAATTTCCGCGTTTTCTTGATTTCCGACAAAAAAATATTCGCGGATTGGAGAGTCCGATGGGGCCGTAAAATCCATTTGCCGACTATTAATCTTCAATAATTGAGGTCATTATTGGTGTCTTAAATGGGATTAACAATACGCTAGCCTTATATTGTATTGGTAAGTGAATTGTGATCAAAATTCAGCAAAACATTTTCTCTATATATGTACGCATAGTTCGTCTTCATTTCTAAACATGTCGTTATTTCTATAACATATTTATATTTTGTACCCACAGTTTATCTAGAAAAATCTTTAAGAAATTCAATTTAAGCGTTTCATAAAAAAAAAATACCTTCTCCAATCAGGGATCGAACCCACGCCGAGAAAATTATGTTATAATACAGGCTGTTAAGTTTGACGGGTAAAAATCGATACTAGTATGAAACCATTTTGTATTTCACTGTTTGTAATTATGTACACCCAATACCCTTTGTGATGCTCGATAGGTTTATACCACCTTTGTCTTAACAATTCACTCAAACAATTATTTTATAGGATCCAAAAAATAATAGCCTTTTGTGATGCTCGATAGTTTTCCCACTTTTGTCAAACGATTTATTCAAACATTTATTATTATATTTAATAGTATTAAAATGTGGATGTTTATTTTGATTGCTATATTGACATAGAGTTCTTTGGATATTTATGAAATAGTAGTAGTTTACTTAGTTTGTGTTTTTATTGCTTTATGGCAATATTCATAACAATTCATTACTTCCTAACAGGTGCCCATATCCGGTCAAGTAGCTTTGCATGAACAACGTCTAAAATAAAAAATTCTCTCCAATTTATTCGCGAAATGGTGCGGACTTATTCGCGCAAACAAATATTCGCGCTTCGTGACCATCCGCGAATAAAGCGAATATTAATTGGTCGCGAATATTAGTTGGGTTACAGTATCTCAGATTATTTTACTAATAGTTTTCAGTCACATATCAGCATATGAATTTTGTAAAAAAATAAACAACATACAATGAATACACGTTTACCTTTGTTGGAAATTCCGGAATCACCCCTGTCAATATAATAAGAATCAATGTCAAATATGTTTTCTTCCAAGAAAAACACTATAAGTTATTAGTATTAAACCATTCTTATATAAACAGTTGAAAATCATAGACTTGGTCTTTATTTAGTATGGTCGTGAGAGGTTATAGAAAGTGCAACATATCTCAGGCCCATTTACGAAAGACCAGTGGGAACATTTCAACTTCACGAAGATTAATTAAAACTCTTTGGAACAATGTGAATGATACTATACAAACCTAGTATGATATTGAGAAAGTTGTTTTATACAACTAGTCAAAGCATAAGTTTCGTTCGTTGATAAAACGGAAAGCCTTTCCCCGGTGATTTTATTCACACAATCGGCATGGTATTGCCAATTCTCTCCGTTCCTTACCCTGTACATTTCACATGTGACGTTAAAATGCTGGAAAAGGAATGTTTTATTGTTAAAGTGCAATTTCTTCTAAGTCTAGAGACACATGATCATCAGGACCCGGTTATTCAAAACATTGGTTAGTGATAACCAACGGATAAAATCATTATCAACTGGCTAAAATGTGTCTGTTGGATAAATTCTGTTTAAAAGTTATCTTAATTAAGGATAAAAAACGTTATCCAGTGGTTAACTTTAACCAGTCCTTCCAGTACCGTCCATGAACAGGCTCAATCAAACCGAACCTGCAACATTTTCAATTTTGTCGTGTTGGACTTTCTTTAGGGATTCTGTTTTTCTCTATTCTATGACCACCGGATAATGTCCTTTACCAGCGGTAAGTCATCATAATTAAAACAGTAAAAATCATTAAAACTTGACGAATGTTTCAAACAAGGTTTTTTTTTTAAATATATGTTTAGTTTTTCTTAACTAGAACCTTATCCATTAAATTGAGACATTTTCTCTAAAAGTGTTTTTAGAACTCTTTTTTAATTCACTTTGTTGTTGTTGTTGTAGTTTTAGAAAATTCAGTTAAACAGTCATATCTTTCTTATTTTTTAATTAAAATATACAAGTATCAGTAATCATTTTCTTAGTTAGAACATAACCCATCTAATGGAAGTGATTTCAATTATAGATTTGAAATTTTTCTCGTATGCTGTACCATCAGTTCTTCTACGTTTCCAATATTTATTCCATTGTTATTGTTGTGTTGTGCAGCAGAAAAACAACGAAAAAATAATACATGAATATGCATGCTTTTTACTTTTAAAATTGTTATTATTATTATTTTTTTATTATTATTATTAGTATTATTATTATCTAAAAAGACTATACTTTAAAAGACTGTGAGAAATATAAAATATATCAAAGTGACAAATGTCTAATATTTTAACAACAGATGGCAAATAAATATTTATGTAAACGGAAAATTAAATGTGGCTTATCAATTTTGCTAAAAGTTTTAATATATTGAGGTGACTATGTCAATTAAGCTGCCTGTACTGATTAAGTTGTTAAACCTTGTGACTAATAAGATATTCAGGTGATGATTGTTGTTAAGTAACATGTTATGTTACATGTACCTTATTTTGTATTAAAACTTGATTGGTAATTTTGTAAAAAAGCAACAAAGATGTTAAAATTTTATTGGTCAGTTTAAAACGAAAGAAATTTTAGAAATATTGTAAAAAAATTTGGACAATGGGATTTTGGATTTCCAAGCGATAATTTTGTAACTTACCACTATTAATATTTATACCCCCGCACAATGAAAATGTAAGGGGGGGGGGGGTATACTGGAATCCCCGTTCGTCGGTTTTTCCTTGTCCGCTCAATAACTTAAGATTCCTTTGACCTACAGCCTTCATATTTGGAATGGAGATTAGTCATTACTAGAAAATGACCCCTATTGATTTGTAGGTCACTAGATCAAAGGTTAAGGTCACGGGGGTCTTGACTTAAAAAAGCTTGTCGCCAAATTACTTAAGATTCCTTTGACCCACAGTCTTCATATTTGGCATGGAGGCAAGTCATGATTATTAGATGAGCGCTATTGATTTTGAGGTCACTGGATCAAAGATCAAGGTCACAGGGGCCTTGACTAGAAAAAGCTTGTCCGCCCAATAACTGAAGATTCCTTTGACCCACAGTTTTTATTTTGAGTATGGAGGTTAGTCATGATTATAAGATGACCCCTATTGATTTGACGTAATTGGGTCAAAGGTCAAGATCACAGGGGTTTTGACTATAAAAAGCTTGTCCACCAAATAACTTAAGATTCCTTTGACCCACAGTCTTCATATTTGGCATGAAGGCTAGTCATGATCAGTAGATGACCCCTAATGATTTTGAGGTCACAAGGTCAAAGGACAAGGTCAAAGGGGCTTTGACTAAAAAAGTTTGTCCGCCCAATAACTTAAGATTCCTTTTGCCCACAATTTTTATCTTAAGCATGGAGGTTAGTCATGATTAGCAGATGATCCCTATTGATTTCGAGGTCACTGGATCAAAGGTCAAGGTCACAGGGGCCTTGACTAAAAAAGCTTTTTTCGTCAAATAACTTAAGATTGCTTTGACCCACAGTCTTCATATTTGGCATGGAGGTTAGTCATTATTAGTAGATGACTCTATTGATTTTGTTGTCACTGGGTCAAAGGTCAAGGTCACAGGGGCCTTGACTAAAAAGCCTGCCCGCCCAATAACTTAAGATTCCTTTGACCCACAATTTTCATATTTGGCATGGAGGTTAGTCATGATTAGTAGATAATCCCTATTGATTTTGTGGTCACTGGGTCAAAGGTCAAGGTCACAGGGGCCTTGACTAAAAAGCCTGCCCGCCCAATAACTTAAGATTCCTTTGACCCACAGTCTTTATATTTGGTATGGAGGTTAGTCATGATCAGTAGATGACCTGTTTATCACTAGTAGATGACCCCTATTGATTTTAGGTTACTGTGTCAAAGGTCAAGTCACTGGGATTTTTACAACAATAAGCTTGTCTGCTCAAATGCTTAAGAATGCCTGTCCGCAGTGTATTGGTTTTAACTTTGATGCATCTTAGCAATGCACTTGCTTAGTAACTCAGATTTTGCAGGGAGGATGCCCATGAGCTCTTAATGGCCACTGTTGATTCTGACAAAGTGGTATGCGGGGGTATTCACGCCATGACAGTGGCAGTTCTAGTAGTTACTTTTTGTTAACGTCAGGATAACCTGTGCATATTTTATGTTTTATTTGTGGTATTTCACAAATTTCTTTAGAAGAAGAAAATGCATTTCAGATTTTCCAGATGTGTGCATGGTAAAATTATTCGACAAAAAACTTACAGTAACTTTATAATTTCCTTGCAAAGAAGAAATATCTTCATATCGTCTGAAGTTAAACAGTGCACCTGACATGGGGTCAGAACTCGAACAAATCACTGTAAAATGAACACAAACGAGAAAATTAATAAGCATATAGTCACAATTGAAATGCAAAGAACAGCGTTAAACATATTTATGTTAAGAAGTTTATTTTATCAGAATAAAGAATTCCTTTTTGCTAAAACATAAATAAAAAACGTGCCTTATAACCAAACAAACTTACCATATAAAATGTATTCTATCCACTCAAGTCCGTACAGTGCTAACATCCAAAAGTCCATCTTGTCAACTGTGTGATAAATCTGTAAATATAATTCTGATATAAATTGTCACCATTGTTCTATGTTATCTCAGTCTGATATTTAGTATCAATACTATCTTTGTGACTTAATCTGTTAAATATATGAATAAATTTACTGCAGTTTAAGAGTGTCCAATTAATTGTATTATTGTCTTGATGATATTTTTATACAGGCTGTAATTTTTTGACAGATTGTTTGTACAGATGTTTTGTTCTGTAATCAGCTATCATAGACAAATAAACTGTTATCATTTTGCAAAAGGAAATGTGGATGACTTTATCCAATTCTAGTTTGTCCAAATTTAAATGAATCAAAGTTCATATTAAGTAATAATACGTTTTATTTTAAGTATAAGTTAGGAAATAAATGGAATTGATATGGAATAACATTTTGAAAATAATGGACATCATGCATGCCACAACTTTGCTACCATATCTACCTTGAACTAAAATTTCTCTAAATTTCGTCTACTTAATAAAATATATTTTTGGGCAGTAAAAACGTGTGGTATTTTTGGAAGGAGATTCATTCGCAATATTCAAACTGTGTTATTATTGAATATATCGGAGTATGCTCTGACACAGGGGTTTCATTGAGGTAATCGGCATATGAAATTGTTTCTTAATAACTACAAACATTGTCATTTATTAACACGAGTCCGCAAACCTTCTTTAGGTTTGAAGTGTAGCTTTTTTGGTATCTGATGACCTTACTAAAAGGAGGAGAGGCAATTAATTTTCTAAAGTCGGAATCATAAAGTTTGTGAACTACAACAAAAAAAATAATAAAAGTTTAAAAAAATCAATAAAATATCAAATGAGAAGTAATTCTCGAAATATAAATAACAATGGAAATTTGCGATTATAGAACAGGGCATATTGTGTTCTTTTCTCTGTCTTAAAATCTGTTAAAATCAAGAACAATCTTGTTAGTACTTAAAATTTATTTTGATATTTTTGTTACAACATATTCTCAAATTTCAAATGATTTCTTGTTTTCAAATATATTTAAACTCTACGAAATTGTTTAAAAATACAGATTTTTATCATAAACAATTGTTATTCATTCTCCATCTCCAAATGAAACTGAAATTACTGAATGTTATGATTATATCAAATTCTATATTACTTGCAATATTGACATAAAAATGTGATATCTTTATTGTATTTATATTATAGTGATAAGTTTTTACATATAGAAGTGATTATGTATAAATCGTAAATAAAATAATGTTTTGTTTTGTTCTGTTTAAATATTGAATGCTAGGATATAACGCTTAGTTACCAGGTCTGGTGTATCTTGTGTTTTATGTCGGATCTTAACAAAGCAAAACATACTGTGTTAAAGATCCTTAATTTTGCACTTAAGGATGTAACATACATTTAAGTGAAATTTTATATAAGTGTATAATTGGTCTCAAAACATCCAAGTATGAGTTAAATATGTACAGCAAATATTTATATACATATAATTAAAAGGTAATGTTAATGCATTCAGATTTGATTGTAAAAACTGGCTAAGATTTTATCGAAAAAAGATTTCTAATTACCTCCCCTTATTTACTTGAAATGTTAAATTCGGTAATATCTTTTTGAAACATACACTATTGATAACTCTTCATTTGAGTATCAGATTTATGATATAGAACCATAAAAAATTGCGTTACAGGATCTTTTTAATATAAATTTTAAATTTCTATAGTATACATAAACATAAACAGTACATCCTTGCATACGCATATAATAAAAATAACTTATATATGATAAAGACACATTACACTTGTTTAAACGTGAATGGATTTCCATTTCTTGTATCTAATAATAGTCTACAAAATAGTTTTTTTTCAATCTATACAATTTAAATGACGTATAAATTTAATGAAGAATAGCATACATAAAATATGTCGTCAAATTCTTACGACAGAACTTTGAGGATATCTTGCCCTATTACAACAGAAACATTTGATATAATTGATTTTAATTTTTATATTATAAACATATATCTGTAGATATATTGTTTTATTCTTGCCGTTTAACGATTTATTACTTTTCGCGCATTTGTCATTTATGCTGTCACAAAGGAAAACATTATATTAAGTATTAAGTAAAAGGAAAATAATGGGATATTTAAATGAAAATAATCTTTATATGAAAGATATTAACATTTCCTACCCGTGTTTTATTAAGTATCTGGCTGTTCAATCCAATGCAGTTTTGGGATTCTAAGTTTACGTCATGTTACAATGTACCATATTATAGAATTATGCCAGGTGTAACATAACCAAAAGGTAATAAGAGAAATACATGTATAGGTTAGTGTTTAATAATATGTATTAACAAAAATAATTGGTCAAGCCTGCCGCAGGCAGGCGACCAATTATTTTTGTTAATGCATATTATTAAACATTAACCTATTTAATGATCAACATTATTTTTTTCACAAAAACAAGGCATTTCTCTAAATCACTGATAGCTCCGCCCTTTCGCTCTACAAGATGTCTACACCTTGTCAAGTTTCTAACATTTCACATTTAGATAAGCTAAATAAATGGCCCTTTCAACATATAATCAGGCACATTTTTACTGAAATGTCACAGAATTTATACCTTTATCTACAGTAATTACATGTAGGTAAAAACAATGGAGTTAATGAAATGTGTACATCCTTTTAAAATAAATGGAAAATGTGAGAAAAATACATTAGAGATTATTAATTATTTGTAAAACAGTTTACAGGTGGAGGGGGTCAGTTTACAATGAGTTTTCCAGCCAAAAATGTAATCATTGTATTCTTAATATCATTGGATTGTTAATGCAGTTCATTCCTATCAAGTGAAAGAAAATAATTTTTTGGTTACTTTTTCTAGAAAATATAAAGTTAAAACAGTCAGCAATTTATAACAGACATTTTTCTTAGAGTTAAAAGGATATAAATAAGTTACTATGTAATCATTTGTCTCTGCGTGCCCCACATGTATTATCTATGTAATAAATCATTTGATTGTATCCTCACATTTAGAAAGCCTAATTATTTTTACGTTGGCATTGTTTTGCTAACCTTTATATTTTCCAATTCAGAGTGCAAACCACACCTCTAACTCCTCCCTAATATAATGCATTACTGAAATTTGTTAGACTGGTTAGACGACAGATTAAGTTATTTAGTTAGTACACATTAACCAAAGTTAGACTTAGCAGAAATTTGAAAAATACTACAATGTGATTGGACAAAAAATAATGTTGATCATTAAATATGGAAAAAGGCTGGTTTTACACCATCGTTGCAAAGATGCCTTTTTTTAAATCTCGTTTTAGTATATGTAGTCGTGAAAGTATCATATATGTTTTGAAGCGAAAGCAATATATCTTGCCTTAAGTTTGAATAATTTATTATGTTTTCACATGTAATTTCAGCGACGTACATCTTCAATGTCAACCATATTCTCAGAGACATTAAAACTAATAACTGCAATCGTATCCTTAAATTTCAAAACTGCTTCTCTTAACACTCTTATTAATAACTTACAATTCTTTTGGTAAAAAAATCACTAAACACATGTTGAATAAAAAAGCAAAAAATTATCTTTTGATATTGAATAATATCGTATTCGATTAACTTCCCAGTTATTTTCATTAATACACATTTAAAATGATCAAAATGTTTTACCTTTTCAAGTTATTTGTACAAGTTTGGATTAATTTTGAGTTAATTTTAACTATGAACGAATGTGTATTTTTATGTCTTTGTACTGGAAATATAAATAGAATACCATGCGATCTGATTTCAATGGATACATGTATATATCCTATAAAAAGAAGTTCTTTTGAAAAATAATTGACATACGACAATTATCAATTTTCGGCACTTCTAAAATAAGAACTATTCTTACAGTGGTAAAACAATATTTGAGCCGCGTCACGACAAAACCAACGTTATGCATTTGCGACCAGCATAGATCCAGACCAGCCTGCGCATCCGCGCAGTCTGATCAGGATCCATGCTGTTCGCTTCCCAACTCTATTACAAGTGGAGAAACTGAAAGAGAACAGCATGGATCCTGATCAGACTGCGCGGATGCTCAGGCTGGTCTGGTTCCATGCTGATCGCAAACGCATAACGTTGGTTTTGTCGTGACGTGGCTCATTTTCTTTACGTCGATTATGAAAAAGCAATCTCTAGTATGATTCTGTAGCTATTCAGTACTGTTTTCTTATCATTTGTCATTGTCTCAACCTGTGTACTGCTCGAACCCCGGTTTGAGAAGGATACAAACATCTTAACAAGTCAGTTTAATACGTTAAAATGACCTCAAAGTATTAAACACCCTTTATTTTTTTCATTGTTTTAAGAAATTGGAATGGATTGTACGATTCAGATGTAGATGTTCATAGATCAATCATTTTGATGTTAATTTTTTATGGGAGTTATCATAATTTTTCTATGCTTTTACACCACGTATAATGTAACTTGAAAAACAATACCTTTTTACACTTTACATTTAATCACGTGGTGCTTTTTAAGAACGAAAAATGGATGCCAGTGCTTGTAATTTTCGTATTTCACTTTGTATGATCATTCCCAAAGTAATTAAGAACACCATAATATTAGGTTGTTTATATCAAAGACTGCTATACATGTTTATCATCTAAATAATAAAAAGTCAAAACAGACAAAAATGGGCAAAAGAATAAAGAAAACTTTAAAACAATTTGTATGAACATATTAGAAATGGAAAGTAAGTAAGCCGAAAAAAAGATGTTGCGACATAAGTAGATTAAATCTAGCTCATAACCAGTATATATGGATTTGTGCTAAAGAGGTTTGGGTGTCATTATATGTCTGAATAAAAGAAAAACTGTTGCCATTCAATTATAAAGAGTAATATATACAAATGTCTTCAATGTCATATTTCCTGATTCGTCTTTTAGAGTTTATTTTAAGACCCTTTGAATATATGGAACGTCATGTCTTTCATACAAACTCACTATGTTCATAACACTTTTCTAGAGATCTCCATGTCTTGCTATTTTGTGATATAAATTCTCTAAACAATGTTCTATTGATCCGGCTCTACTATTGTAAAACACTGTCTCCACTTCTTTAGTACAAGAATCAGAACAGATCCCAATGTATTTCCACTTAAACCCTATCATTTGTCCTTTGTATGACCAGTTTATCGTGCAGCCTTTTCCTCTCTCAAACTGTAGAAATAAAATATATTTAAGTTGTGCTGACATAAACAAGGGACTAAAATGGTCAAATTTAAACCAATTATGCATGTTGCAAATGTATATTGACCTAATTGTATAGTAAATAGGGTTACTGTTAAAGCAGTAGCGAGAAATGTCATGTTGTACTTCAAATGAAATGAACCAATAATATTGAATAATTGTATAATTCAGAGAAATGTTCTGACAAAATGTACATATATTATACATATATTGTATATATTTATAAATGATTTAAGAATTTTACCTGCCCAGAACTCTCAGTTCCAAGGGCACCGGCTATGTCAGTTGCCATGCTAAGAAAGTCACTTAACGTTCCATTGCTTTCACCTGTTGTAAAAGTAAAAATGAAAATGCAATGAAATGCAAAAGTGAGAGTTCCGCTTTTTAATTATAAAAATGTATCAATTTCATTATGTTATGCTTCAATGCTATCACTCTTTCATTTTTGCATTTCAAAGTCTATACGTTCAAAGATGGCAATTCATCACTGGATGTCCTCCTGAAGCTGCAATATTTCCAACCTGTTTCTGTCTTGTCATCTTTTAAAGGGACTGGACAATCCAACGAATGTTAATAGATCATCCCAGATGGACCATATTGTATTTTATGTATCAAATTTTAACCAGCTGAATTTATGTAACAGACTTGTCCCTTTAACAACAAATACAAAACTCGACCACCAGCTCTAGCGATCCAGTCAATTACCTACCATGATTGTAAATAATGTGAAACTGCATTGAGATGTACATTTTATTTAAACTTATGGGAAATTACTTACTTATGACTAGTATAAGCAGGAATATTGTCAATGATTGCTTCACCATTCTGTCACAATGTCTGTAATGAAAGTAATATATTTCCATATAAAAATATGGCAAAATTATCCACTTGTTCAAATGTCTTGTCGAGTTTTCAGGCATGTCTTACCTTTCCTATTAACAACGATTACTATAAACTTACAGTAAAGTCCTATTTTACAGGAAAAGTAGATAGGCAGTGTTTGGTGTAAGGAGTAACAAAAACATTACAATACATTAAGAATAGTAATACTTAACAATTGCATTCAAATAAAACATTATTTATTTACCTTTATTGAAAATGTAGCACTCCGAAATCAGTCAGAATCTTTCCAATGTATTATCACTAATAATACAATGTAGTACAAATGTAAAATGCATGTCAAAATCCAGCGACTTAATATGTCTAAATTTCATAAACATTTTATTGTACTATATTTAACCTGTATCGTAATAACTAAAAATAAGGTTGGGATTTTTCTTTTGCTGTGTCTAAAATTACATCGATATACAATGTACTTGTTAATATTGGATAGGTATGGAAAGCCATGGCTGTCTTATATTATTCTTTTTCAATTTATTTAACAATTTGGATAATATATAAGTTCACTTCGACTATATATGAATTGAAAACATCTTATTTAACCGGAATCTATTATATTAATCCACAAATACAATATATGAAACCATACCGTCAGTGTATGAAAGCGAGGTAGCAATATATAAGTTGATTTTCTCAATATATGATTCCAGTTCTTCAATATATTGTACCAAAGTAGCCATGTATGGAATCAGATATCCTTATATGAAACCGAATTGTCAATATATTAATTCATTTAACAATATATGAAACCAATTTATCAATGTATGAAACCAAAATAGAAATATATAACTTGGTTATCAAATTATATGATACCAATTCTTCAATATATGCTACCAAAATAGCCATATATGGAACCAAGACCAGAACCAAATTTTGAAGCTGTTTGAAACTGTGATAAATCGTCTTATTGTATATATTCATATCTGATTCATATGCTATTAATACTATAGAAAAGAACTTATATAACTCATCTTATACACCAGACGGGTGCGTTATTTAAATATCATGTAACTCATTTTAATGGTTTTATAACATGAATATAATTCTAAAATGAAGATTTATCAATTTTGTAATTTCCAAAAAGCCTTATTTGTTAAGTTATTACCGAATTTACATTACATGTTAATAAAGAAAGGTAATTTAAATTAAATTTATTTTCTATAAAATATAAGTCACATTTTCAATAAGAAATTTATGCATATATTTTACTGATTACATATGATGTGGACAAACAGTGCATATTTTACATATTCTTCGATGTTTGAAAAATGTTTTAGAAACATAATTATATACATATATAAAATCTTACTTAAGTGTGGTAACAACCTTAATTACAACATAAAGGATCTTCAAATTGCGAGTACACTCCTGCCTCTTTGCATATTGCCGCTTATTTAACAGAGTTAATATTGCACATGCGTATACATGTTGTTGCTTCATTGCACCAAAGACTTGAATTAGTTATCTTTATCTCTGATTGCACATCATTTTTTTCTTTTTATTAGAATGCGTGTACACATGTACAACGCCCCTGTTGCTTCATTGCACAATTCTCTTTTTATCAGAATGCTAAGCTATTGATTCATAGCACATATTCAAAAGAATAAGTATTTCAATCGCATGCGTGACATTGCTATATTGCACATTTCAATGTGGTTATAAATAAGTTATGAACATTCTTTAACTCTGTTGAAATTTTAAGCGTTTTTCAACCCTGATCTCAAAATACTAATCAAATAAACCATAACATATTATGATTTGCTGTTTTCTAGTAAACTTAAAAAAACTTTGTATCAAGTTAACCGTTTTTAATTTAGATCAAATATTTAAAATATTTGTATTACAATGAGATCACCTTGGCAATAATAAATAAAAATGTCGGAAAAAGCATATCATAACCAGTTCTCGAATAATTTAATTAGAGGTTAATACGATGGGTGCATGCTCGAAAGCGATTTACGATAACGCGATACAGGCTAGAGGTTTGAAAGACTTATGAAATCGAGGCCATTATCGCAAATTCAAATAGCAACCAAGATAAAAACGTCTGTAAACCATGTGTGAAATACGGCCCCGTTTAGGGACATATGGCAGGAACCTGGTAAGCGGACTTTTAAATAAAACGGCATTTTTGTCTAATTAAACAATATTTGTTTCGAAGTTTAACATCGATAACTAAGAAAACTAGGCAACCAAAATTAAACATAAGAGAACATGTCTGTTTTATTGATGCTTTTATGAAAATACAGATCTTTCTTTCTTTTTACATTTTTTTTTGAAACGATAGCTTTTAGACTGATCTGCCAGTTATTATGAACCATTGTGGGAGAACGAAGTTCCTGAGACTGTCTAGGTCTAAATGCGAACAATCAGACCTTTTCGTACAGTCAATCTAAAATCATTTTTGGAATTTCTGAGGGTCAACTAAAGTATCGACTTGAGTTTATAGCGAGCTCGACGAGCTGGCCCGAAGGGCCTGCTCGCAAAGCGAGCTTTACGGTAACGCGAGTACCTGCTAAGTGATGGTTTTGAAAACTTTCGTCCGAAGTACCGAATTGGACACATCGCAACCTTTCGAATTTAAAGATAACGATAAAAAACTAAGGAATTCTGACTGAAAACGGATGTGTAGACTGGTCACCCGCGCACGTCTATGGGAACCATACTTGGACAGGGAACAAGAATAACGGAAGCTGTGTATAAAATATCGAATGATAAAATGAAAATTGAAGGCGCCATTTTGTTTGAAAAATCTGATAAATAAAAACAATTTTTTGTCGAATTTTGTTGTGAAAACTATCTAGAATAAAAGAAAATGGTCTAACTAAGAAAATGAATCCAAACACCAATATCTTTTATTCAGTCGTTGACGCTGTACAGACGTTTAAAGTATTGTTTACGTGACGTCACAATGTAGCGCCAAACAGCACGTGAAAAACAATCAAATCAAGCACGCTATTTTAATGTCACAAACGTTTTAAGTTTTACATTTATTTCACTTTAAATTATCTTTATTTCGCTTGAAAAATTATAGAGTGAAATAAAATAAACAAACAAAGTTTTATCAACGTTTTCAAAACTCGTTATTCATTTAACGACAGGGGCGGAGCCATATTTAACACAATACGTGTGACGTCACACGCATTCGTCACAGCATTTGAAATAAAAATGAGCGATTATTTCATACTATTTCACGTTAAAAGTACATCGAGCTCGCTTTGAGGCTTTGCCTTTTTCATATTAAATATTCAATGATAAGCTTTGCTGATTGTGATTAATTATGTCATTTAAAATATAAAAAAACCCATTGTTTTCAAGTGACTACAGTTCATTCAACGTCAGCAGCCATCTTGAAAGTTATGAGAGTTGATTACGTCATTCTGCACGTGCGCTAATTTACTCGCCCATTATGGAAAAATAATGCCGAGTAGCAAGGCGGCCAAAATTGCATTATATGACCTAGATCTTGCCATAATGGCCCTGTAATACCCTAGATTTGGTAACATAGTAACATAGGTATTAATTCATATTATATCTGATACAATCTCGGTATCAGTATGCTAAAATACTATAAAACAAAATAGAACAGAACTGTTTTGTTCAAAATTTAACAAAATACATTATACACATTGGACTGGTTCATTATTTGCGTATTTGTAGATAGAGGATTATATGTGTTTGCTGCATTATGCGATAATTGCCTGAAGATGTCGACAAAGGCATGTGGGTATATTTATTTATGTCAATTTTGCATTAAACGAGACCCTAAATTTTGTAAAAATATATAACAAGTTACAAAATCTAACAAACAAATAAACATAACGAATAATAAGACATATTGTAAAATTTGACATAAAACAAATTATGTGTCTTAAAGTCAAATAAACTAAAAATAAAATGTTATACAAACACATTGAGAAAATTTCAATAAATTGTTGGAAAGAACCAATTCACATTTAGATTGGAACAACAAGAGTAAATTTAAAACCGCAGAAGAATTTATTTCTTTTAAAATTATTTTCTTTTCTCAACAATTTTCTCAATTATAATTTTGGATTACTTTTACAGAATTGATTTTAATTAACTTCTTATAACATAGAAAAAAGTAAAGAATATTGTAATTCACCTTTAATTCATTTATTTTTTCGGTAATTCTCGCAAACAACAACGAAATAATCTTAAACTATAATGACCGTTTGTAGAAGTCACTCATAAGCCGAAATAATATCGTTTATTTGGAATTCCATGAAATTCGAGATACATGTCTAAAATATGAAGTAAAATACCAAACATACTATTTATAAAACACATTATTATATTAAGCAAATAACCGTAATAGTTATAAATACGCGTTGGAATTCAATTGACCCGTATATTTAGACGCCATAGCTGCCTCATGTTGTGACATTTCGTTTTATTTTTCCCTAAAAGAGTCTTATTATGTATAATGGAAGTGTTGGCTTGCCAATGATTTATGAGAACCTGTCTTAACGAAGTCTTATTAAGTCAAATATTCATTTTATCTTGTCAACACGTAGTGCTGACTTGTTTAAACACTGTCTTATCATTTCAAAACGTCATGTTTTCATGTCCAAATCCGGTGTTAACATGCCGAATGGAAGTCTTAATATGTCTAACATGTACGCCATCTTTTCGAATAAAGATTTCAATATGTCTGAACACAGACTTGTTCACATGTGGTGTTGAATTGTTTTTAAATTGTATTATCATGTGAAACAGTAGTGTTATTTTGTCGGAAGTTGGTGTCATCTTGTCCAAATGTAATCCTGGTATGTTATGACACTGTTGTATTATGTTATACTGTCGTTTTGTCTTGTCCAAATGTGGTATTGACTTGTCTAAACACCGTCACATTTTGTCAGACTGCCATGTCATTGTGTTCAAATTGGTGTTATCTTGCTTAAAGAATGTCTTTTATGTCAAAATAGCATGCAGTCTTGTCCAACTGTGGTGGTAATTTGTCTAGAAATTGTCTCATTATGTGAAACAGTAGTGTTATCTTGTCGGAACTTGGTGCCAACTTGTCAAACTCATGTCTTATTATGTCGGCTAGTAGTGATATCTTGTTCAACCGTTATATTGACCTGGCTGAGTGCTGTCCTGTTTTGTCAAACTGTTATGTTGCTTTGTATGAGGTGGTGTTAATCTGGCTTATTGTGCCAAAACATCATGCTTTCTTGTCTAAAACAGTTGTTATCCTGTATAAAAAATATACTTATTATGTGAAATACTCGTACTTATGTTTACTTGCCAATAAATTTTGTTTGTTTGTGTAAACGTTATTTTATTATGTCAAACAGTATTGTTGACTTGTGCA